CCACCGCGTGCATCATGTGTTGCGGTGCTGGCTGCCATGCAATGCTTTTGGCCGATCCACAACTTTATACCGACTGACGTCGCGCAGCGATACAACAAATCTTGTGTTTTGTTGCGCGTCTGGCAGTTGTGTGCCACTATTATCGCGCCTCACGCATACTTGTGGTGAAATCGATCTTGCGGAATGTCCGCAGCGCCGCGCGCGGCTCGCCCAGTATATCGAGGCAGACGGTGAAGGCACTTCTCATGCGAGGCTCAAGAGAGTGCGCGTTCAGCCGTCCAAGCGACAAACTCGTTGTTCATTTTAGGGCGCATTTCCACGCATCCACGGAAAACTTTACGACGAGCCCCATACATATTCACACATACTTACTTGTGCGAAGAAACCAACCCTTTTCTTAACGTAATTCGCATACAACACACACACACACACCAGCACATCGAGTGCGAATGCGGACTCTGCCACTAACACCTTCCGTACACCCCCCTGGAGGCCACGAGCCGCGCGAAGACTGCGCTGACATGGTCCGGGTGGCGGCGCGCGGCTTGTGCAGGGCCTTCAGTGGAGCTCCCCATGACGCCAAGAACCGCATGAAGAAAAACTGCAATGGTTTGGGCGGCGGCAAACGGCCTGTTCTTCAAAATTTTGTGGTGACGTTCTCTATATGGGGCCACGAACCGTGTCAGGGCGTGCTGACATAATCCAGATCGCGCAAAGCGGCCTGTGTCACAAAGCCCTCAGCGAGTATCCGTGTGGGACCATGAACTGCAAGAACTATAAACTGAAATAGTCTGGCCAGCGGCATACGCCCTGCACAGGAGAAAAACAAATCGATCGAGTTCCCTATGGGGCACCGAACTGTGCGAGGGGGGTGCTGGATTGGATTGGGCGGCGGCAAGCAGCCAGTGCGACAAAAGCCTTCGGCGTAGCATCCTGTGGAACCACGAACCGCGTGAGAGCGTGCTGCAATGCTATCGGTGGCGACGCGCGGCGCGCGCAATAGACGCCTTCGGTGTAAACCTCTACGAAGCCACGATGCGCGCAAGAATCGCGTTGAACATGTCTGGTCGGTGGCACGCGGCCTGCGACAAGAAAATATCAGCGGCCGAATTCCATATGGCTCCACGAACCGTGTGAATCAAGAATTGAAACGGTCTGGGCGGCGGCATGCGGCCCATGCTACCAAGGGCTTCGGTGGGGCTCCCTTCGGAGCTATGAACAGTGTGAATAAAGAATTCGGGTGGACTGGGCAGCGGCATGTGGCCTGCGCTACAAAGGCCTTCGGTGGAACTCCCAATGGGGGCACGAACTGTATGAGGGGAGAACTGGAATTGTCTGGACGTTGGCAAGCGGCCTGCGCTGCAAAGACCTTCGGCGTCACTATTCTATGGTGCCGCGAATCGAGCGAGGGGCGCGCTGACATGGTCTGGGCGGCGGCACGCATCCTTTGCTACAAAAGTTTTCGGTGCAACCCCGTTTCTGGGGCCGAGAACCGTGCGGGGCGCGTGCTGAGTTGGCGTCGGGCAGCGGGAAGCGGCCCGTGCTACAGGGGCCTCTGGTGAAACCCTATGGGGCCACGAATCGTTCGAACGGTGCGCGGAAACTGCATTGGCGGAGGCTGCCAAGCGAAGACCCACCACGCAGGAGAGAAGATGATATATGATGACGGACCGAAGCGGTTTGGAGGAGGAGGAGGAGGCGATGGTAGAGGAGCGGGAAAGCAGGATATGAGGCGTTCAGCGCTCCAGGTTCACAACGAGGACCCAACAGACATGAGGAAATATAACAAAACTACGGCCTCCAAAAACTCCTTCACACTGCTCTTCGGATGGTTCAAATGCCTCCGCATCGCTCCCAAGGCATGCGAACGACGGCGCGAAGACAAACGGAATCCGCTGCAACGCAATCCCAAGGCTTCCAAAACGGCTCACTGATCCCCCATGGGGCACCAGGGAGTCGCCAAGATGCCCACCGAAAGAAAAAAACACGAAATCCCAAGTCGGCAGTGTTAAAAGACCTAACAACAGCTCCAGGACGGCCCAGTGCAGGCCCCGCTCAGGCTCCACCAGTTCATTCTCGCGCACCCTGTGTGGCGTAATCTGGAGGCAACGTCGGGTGACTCCCCCGCCCACACCCCCAACGACACACGAAAACTCTGGGACCCAAACAGCACTTTGGATCCCCAGTCGCAACAGAGTCGAGGGCCCCGGGGGCCCTGCCGATCCCTTGCCAGGGCTCCTCCGGACATGTCCAAAACCACTGCCGGTGGGAGTCCAGACCCACCGCCGCGGGAGCGCCCATGGGGGCCGCGGTGGGTTCGGACTCCCCTCGGCAGTCTTCTCAGATGTGTAAAAAACAATGCCGAGGGGAGTCCAGACCCACCGCAGGGGGGGGAGCCCGGACCCACCGCGGGCCCATGTGGGCCCTCGCGGAGCCTCATATGGGTTCCCCCGCAAGCCCCCTGGCCCCCACCCTCAGCCCTGCCCGCCGCCCACGTCTCTGTCCCTCCTCCCCCCTCCTTTCTGCTCGTACGCCCTCTCGTTGACCCTTCCTCCAATGCCGTCCGCCCACAATGTCAGCTCCGAGCCTCACCAGAGTATAATGTAACTGGGAGGTACCGCTCGCTCAAATGCAAAAAACAACGCGCTCTGAGCGCCAATCATCGGAGGCGCCCGTCGCCCGCAACATCCTTCAAACAATGACCTTGTTAATCGTTCCTTCCCTCAGTGCTGGTCCACATTCCCGTTTCTCCCCTTCTGCCCCTCCAAGACAATATGAACTTTGCGAAAAACCCGACCATTTCTGAACGCACTGCGCAAAATAGACAAGACCGCCCGACGCACGCGAACACATTGAGACCGCACGCGAAATCTACCACGAAAGCCTTCGGTCGAGCTACCCATGAAACCACCGACCGCGTGAAGGCCGCGATGAAATGGCATGGGCGGCGGCGAGCAGCCTGTGCCACAAAACCCTTCGGTGGAACTCCGTATGGGCCCACGGACCGTGCGAGACAGCGCCGAATTGGCCTGGGACGGCGGCGCGCGTCCTGCGCTCCAGATTTGGCTACTGAACACGTGAGCAGTGTTGCTGAAATTGTCTCGACTGCGCAATGTGGCACGTGCCACAAACGCCTTCGGCGGGGTTCCATATGGGGCCACGAACCGCGAGGGGTGCGTGCTCAATGGTCTGGGCGGCGGCGTGCGGTTTGTGCTTGAAGACCTTTCAACGGAGTTTCCAAATGCGGCCACATATCGTGTGAGGACAGCTGAAATGGTCCTGGCGGCGGCGGGCGGCCTGCGTCACAAGCGTCTTCGGCGAAACCCTTTAAATGGTGCCACGAAACGCATGACACGCGGTTTGAAATGATCTGGGCAGCAACGTGCGCCCTGTGCGACAGAACCCTTCGGGGGCTGCGTATGGGTCCGCGGACCGTTCGAGAGGCCTGCTGCAACGGTCTGCGCGGAGGCATGCGTCCAGCGCCAAAAAAACATTCGGTTGAACTCCCTGGGGGTGCGCGAACCGTGCATAGAATGAACTGAACATGTCTGGACGGTGGCCAGCGGCCTATGCCACAATCCGGTGGCGTTCCCTACGGGGACACGAACGGCGTGGCGGGTGCGTCAGAATGGCCCGGGCGCGGCGCGCGGCCTGTGCCGCGGGGGTCTTCCTGCACTTCGGCACACCCCTCGTAGATGTCGCGGCCACCCCAGGAGCTTACGAAAGTTAAGCCAGTTGCGCAATTGACAACACCCAAGGCGGGCGAGGTCTCGCTTTGGCCTGCGTAGCACCGGCCTCGGCAGGACCTCCAAGAAGCTCGCAGAGCGGGGACAGTTGGCAGCGGCAAGGGAGGGGAGTCGAGGTACGCGGCAGGTTGGAGGTGGGAGGCCAGCGGAGAGAGGCGGGATGAGATGAGGAATTCGCATCATAGCTATATTTACAACGAGTACGCAGGACAAGAAAGTTGGGAATGCACAGCAATACGCTGCGGCGGGAAGCGTTGAAACACGGTGCAAACAAGCGACATGCAAACACCGATTGAGTGCAGCGCCACGCTGCGCAGTGCGACGCAAACGAGAAAACAGCGCCGTCTAGCATTGGGGAACAGAGGCGAATCTCTCGGGGCCACTGGTCGAAGGGATCATGACCTGTCTATCTATCTATCTATCTATATATATATACATATATGATACCGGAGAAAAAACCCAATCAGGGCTATAGGGTTAGGGGGCTGAAGGGCTACAGGGCTATTGAGCTATAGGGCTATAGAGATATAGGGCTATAGAGTTGTAGGGCTATAGGGCTATTGGGCTATGGGGCTCTAAGGCTATAGGGCTATAAGGCTATAGGGCACCCCCGGGCACCCGGGCACCCCTGGGCATCCCCCGGGCACCCGGGCCCTGGGCACCCCCGGGCACCCGGGCACCCGGGCGTGCAGCGAAAATCGGCGACACACCTAACCTAGCCATATGAATCTGCTAGGACCCCTACAGAGGCAAGCTCTGATTCGAGAAATGACCATTATATATACATATAAGTATATGCACACTTCACTCTCTCTCTCTCTCTTTCTGTCTGTCTCTCTCTCTCTCTCTCTCTCCATATATATATACAGATATATTATAGATGTGTGTATGTGTATATATATATATATACAACATGTTCAATGAGGCCGAGTGTTCCGTTCCCCGAGGGCTGCGGGAACCAGGCCAGGCTGAGGCGCGGCCACCAGGAGCTCTGCACAGACAAACAAACAGGCCCCTCGAGCGAGGCCAAGGTGGGGACTGCCTCCAAGGAGCTTCAAGGTGCCCAGGGACACAGAAACAGAATACACACAAACCCCAGGATCCCCAATCTTTCCTCATATGGTCTGGATGTTCGTCTCCCCCTCCTGTTCCCATGTGTTCCACAATTTTCTTGAGAAACGACGGTGATTTGTGTCTGAGTGACTGTTCCATCCCGAGGAATGCGCCCCTACGCCAAGGCGCCGCCCAGTGCACCTCACATGAGGCTAGGAGGCCTTTGACGATGCCGTTGGCGTCGTAGCCGCCCACGCAGAGGATCCTGCGCGACCGCACGGAAGGCCACGGCCGGACGGCGGTGTGGAGTACGTGCCCCTTGGCCCCTCGCCGTCGTGAGGAGGAGGAGGAGGAGGAGGAGGAGGAGGAGGAGGAGGAGGAGGAGGAGGAGGAGGAGGAGGAGGAGGAGGAGGAGGAGGAGGAGGAGGAGGAGGAGGAGGAGGAGGAGGAGGAGCAGGAGCCAGCTCTTCCACCCTGGCTTCCCAACTGCCCCTCCTCCTCGCCGTCCTGGCCCCCCCACCTCCCACCATATCCGCAGTTGTCGGGGGCTCACAGCTGTGATCTGCCAGCTTTCACCCGCGTGCCAAGCCTCCCCCCAGCGATGGAAGAGGCGCGACGAAGACATACAGCACCACGGCTCCTGGTGTGAAGAATCACTCTTTGACTGTCGAACCTGCTCCTGCCCTCTCTCCCCGCGAACATCACAAGGAGAGCCAGTCGCTTCGTCACCAAACACTGCATTGTCGGCGTTTGCGAGGGGCTTGCTTGTCCGAGTCGTCGTCTCCGTCAGTCGTCGCCTCCATCGTCCCCGTCCCCTGCACCCTCCTTCTCAAGCCTGTCAGCGAGAGAAACATCTAGCAATGAAGCAATCGAGTCGAAGGGAAGGCCCTTCCCTTGGAACCCCTCCCCGTCGGGGGGGGGTCCTGCGGGGGTAGGGGGGTCAGATGTGCATTCCCTCCTGGGGGTCCCGGGGCCTCAGAAAGTACCAAGACAGGCCACGAGTACCCCAAGAGGCCACCAAGAAAATCCAAGAGATCCCCCAATCGCCATACGATCAGTCCAAAACACCTTCACGCCCTTCAGACTGCCCAAGAGGCCTCCAAGACGCCCCAAGAGGCCTCCAAGAACACTCCCGAGAGGGCCCCGAGGCAAAATTGATGGATGTTCTTTGATTTTGTTGATGGATTTGGGCGTTCTCGCCTTTTCCTCTTCACGCCGCTGCAAGACGGCCCAATACGCTCCCCAAATCGGCCCAAGACGGCCCAAGAGGCCTCAACGAAGGCCCCCAAGACATCCCAAAACGCCTCCAAGACGGCCCAAGAGGCCCCCAAGACGGCTCGAAGAGCGTGCCCAGACGGGGGACCCAAACGGACATTTCGAGCCCTCGGTCTCGAGAGGATCCCAGGAGACCCCAAGAGGTTCCAAAGAGGCCCCCAAAGGCCCACAAGAGGTCCCAGGGAAGCCCGACGAGGCCCCAAGAGGCTCCTAAAAGGCCCCCAAGAGGCACCCAAGAGACATCAAAATTCCTCCCCAGATGACCCCGACACCCTTTCGAAGAGACCCCACGAAACATATGGGAGGACTCTGGCCCACGTCAACGTCGTCGTCGTCGTCGTCGTCGTCGTCGCCGCCGCCGCCGCCGCCGTTCTCGTCGTCGACCCTCTTCAGATTCGGCGGCACCGGCCGTAAGGCCTTCGCAAGAAGAAGCCGGCCTTCCAACAGGTGTTCCACGTAAGTGTCTCATCCCCTGGTGGGCCCAGAGACCCGCAGAGGCTCTGGGACACCTCAGGGCCCCAACACATCGACGAATAATGCACCCCAGTAGTTCGTATATGAAGATTTGTTTCCCAAATGTGTTCGCTGCATCCAATACGTAATCGGCGTCGACTTACAATGGCTGCGAGCAACGTCAGGGGCGCTGCAGACCATCCTCTCGTCAGGAAGCACAGCCGCAGCGCAACCAGCACGTCGCGCAGACATGCTGGGGCACTGCACCTGGGGAGCGTGGCGACAGAACAAATGGTTGGGGGAGTCCTACCAGCCCTCTGGGCGGAGGTGGTATGAAGATTTCCGATCTTCCCTCTTCCAAAGACCCTCCTTTCCCTGCTTGGGGGAAGGGTTTGCCCCGGTCTTTTCTTAAGGGACACCCCCGGCCTCACTCGGTGATCTACTGACCCGGGTCAATGCAGACCTGGGCCAGCCAAGCTTTACAAGATCCTGAAAAATCCTGCAAGGTCCTGCGCGCAAGCCAGGGTCAGTGTATCCCTGGCTCTGCAAGATCCTGCAAGATCTGGCGCTCTGACTGCCCCCATTTGCATTGACCCCTGCCTCAACCAACGCGACCCACCCGACCAGCGCCAAACCTGGGAGAATGCGCCCCCACCCCCGCCGCCATCCGTGTCAGCAAAACGATACAAGCGCACTTCGCGGCAGAATCTGGATCGTGCGCGGGCACTCTGCGAGCCCTTTACATTGCGTTTTTGGCGTTTTGGCCAGGACTGCGATGGTATTTGCAAATTGCTGGCTGTGCGCAGGCCCACCAGACATCATGACGGCCGCCCCAGCGCGATCGCGTTTAGTTTGCGAATAGGATGGTGGGGGCCGACATGTTTTGCGACGTGCGCGGGCGCACCTCGCACACCCTGCGCGTGCCCCGAGCGTGGGTGGCGCACCTGGCACGGCTGGGGCGTGCGGAACGCTTGGCGCACGTGGAACACGTGGCGCATCTGCAGCACCAAGCGTGCCTGGCACGCTTGGACCCTAGGGGCGCCCGGCGCGCATGGTGCGTGTGGCGCGCCCTGCACGCGTGGCGCCCCTCGCCCCAGCATCGCGCACCTGGGTTCTCTACTGGCTCTCATTAGCTGCCCATCCAAAGACGACCGCTGAACACACTGAGACTCGGGTACTACTGATGTGTTGGGAGGGCGGGTGTGAGTGAGCCGAAAGGCTTGCTTCTGGGACAAGTGTCTGGAGCACTGTTCCTTATTTATATACACCCCCTCCCCGATCCGACTGGCGACAAACCCGGGACCATGCGGGCAACCCCTCGCCACCCCTGTCAACATAAAACAATGCAACGTGCACATTGCAATTAACATCTGGATCATGCGCGGACGCCCCGTGATCACTTTGGATTGGCTTTTGACAGGGGCGGCGGGGGGCCGGCAGATTGCCTCCTGTGTGGCTTGGCAACGCCCCCCGTACATCCCTTGCAACAGAAGCAATGCAATTTGCTCTTTGCACCAACATCTTGATCATGCACACACGCCCCGCGATCACTTTGCATTGGTTTTCGTTGGCAGGGGCGGCGGGGGGGTCGGCATATTGCCTCCCGGGTGCAACGCCAACACCCCCCAACCATCCCCCGCAAGAAACAGTACACGAAATGCACATTGCATCAACGTCCGGATCATGCGCGGCAGCCCCACGATCAATTTGCGTATGTTTTTGACAGGGGCGGCGGGATGGCCGGCATATTGCCCCCTGTGTGCAGGCCCACCATCCCTGTCAACTGGAGATGCAAGTTCACTTTGCCAGGGACGTCGGGGGGGGGGGCATACTGCCTGCTGTGTGCAAGCCCACTGCGCCAGTCAAAACCACATGCAAAAGGATTACAAATTCACGCCCGCACACAATGAACAATGCTCGCACACACGCCGTCACTTTGTGTTTTAAGCAAGGGTGGGGGAGCGGTCGACATATTGCCCCACGTGGCGCACCTGGCACGTGCGGCGCACCACGTGTGCATCGCGCAACTGGCTGGAGTGTGCTTTCGTTCCCGATGGTTGTCGAGGGCGGCCCCTGCCTTTGCTGAGACTCGAATGCTACTTATGTGGTCAGAGGGCGGGTGGGAATAAACGCACGGCTTGCGGCTTGGGGCAGCTTAGCCCTTCCGCCTACCCCCTCCCCTGGGCCTGGATGGGAGCGGGGGCCAGAGGCGCTAGAGCGTCCAAGGTGGCCCAAGATGGCTCCAGGAAGGAAGGCCCCAGATGCTGCAAGATAGTCTTCAAGATGGCCCACGCTACTGCAAGATGGCTTAGGACAGCCTCCGAAATACCTCCAAGAGGCCCCAAGGCCGCCTCAAGACGGTTCCAAGTGCCCTTCGAGCTTCCCCAGGCACGCCCCAACAGACCCAATTCTCTCAAACATGCAAGGAAAACCATTCTGTTTGTTTCCCTTTCTGGCCTTTCGGCTTCCGATAGGCCTCTGAAGCCCCAAGAGGGCCCCCTAAACGCTAGTGTTCGGCATCCGAGAAGGGGGCCTGAATTGACACCGCCGAGAAGAGTCCTCCCAGACCTCCCCAAAGAGCCCCAGGAAGGCACACAATCCCCCCCAAAAGAACACCACGAGGGTCCCGAGAAAACCCACGGGGAAGCCAAGAAACATCACAACACCAGATCCGCAAACGTCGCCTCGTCATCCCTGTTGGTCTCGCCCGTTCTTTCCTTCCTTCCTGCGATCGTTTCTGGATGGGCTGGCGGGGATACTTTTTTCCTGGCGGAAAGTCTCGCGGTCTTGAACCACGTTCTTCTGGCCCCGTTCCGGATGTGTGTTGGCAACTGGATGGAAGCATCTCCAGATAGTCGGTAGATGTCTTGACGAAACTCTCGGCTGATCACCAGGCCTGCTCCGCAAGACTAATCATGAATTTGACTCACACGAACTTCAGCCTGGAATATACCGGCAAAAAATCGGGAAATACGAACTTTCTTGTGGGTTCGTGGAGACAGCTTGCACACACTCTCACGCGAGCCACTCACGGGCCCACAAAGCATCGACACGCTATGCTGGCAACTGGATGGAAGAGCATCTCCAGGTAGTCGGGAGAAACCTTGACGAGGGTCTCGGCTGATCACCAGGCCTGCGCTATTCGGCTTGACAATCGGTACAAGAGGAGACCGCCTGAGGGGGACCGAGGCTGAGGAGGAGGCATCGATGAGGGAGGCGGAAGACTAGAAGGACGAGGAGAGCGAGGACGAGGAGGAGAAGGAGAAGGAGGAGGAGGGGGAGGAGGAGGAAGAGGGAGAATGAGGAGAAGGAGGAGGAGGAGGAGAAGAGGAGGAGGAGGAGGAGGAGGAGGAGGAGGAGGAGGAGGAGGAGGAGGAGGAGGAGGAGGAGGAGGAGGAGGAGGAGGAGGAGGAGGAGGAGGAGGAGAATGATGAGGACGGCCGGCCAGCCCCAACGGGCTCCCTGCTTTTTCCGGGTCCGAATCCACCTGGGCCCCAATTTCAGCCGCCCGCTGAACTCGGACCCGCCGCCGCGCCCGCGCTCGCGCGGCCACGCGCCCGCGCGGCTTCCCCGTCGCCGGCGACCGCCGACCGGGCAGGCGCACCCCGAGCTGGGGCAGCTGGAGGCCCAGGGGCCCGAGGAAGTCTGAAGCGAGACGAGCGTGACCACCTGGACGGTCGCAAAGTTCGAGATCAGCCCCTTCCCGGGTGGCCACGCCCGCGCCGGCAACCTCGAGCGTCCGTCCCTGCCTCCGCGGACCCTTCGCCGCGCCCGCCCTCGCAGGCACACTGCCCGGCTGGTTGTGACCAGAGCCCGCAGCAGCGGGAAGAGGAGGTGCCTCTGCGCGAAGGAGACGCCAAAAGAGTTGAGCAGATCCGGGTGGTCATTGGAGGAGACGTTTGCGAAGGAGGGGGCGACGTAGTTCATGGCGAAAATGCTGTGCAGTGCGCCCAGCACGTAGACGAGGGCGCCCCGCCTGTGCCACCTCCCCAGCTGCAGTTCTTATACTTGACATCCCTCCTTTGGAACTCGCACGAAGTGACGCTGGTGTACCAGCCTGATGATGGATAGAGGGATGCTCGCCAAGAGCGCAGAGACCACGCCGACTGCGATCAACTCCCTAGACGCCTGCCACATGCAATCGTCGCCATGGTCACCGCACTCCGCGTTGCACTCCTCGGGCGAGTCCTTCGCTAGAGCCCCCCCAGCGCTCGCGAATGAGGACGTGGCGATCATCGCGGCTCCCATCAACTCGTAGCCGAGCAGCAGCACCCTCTGGATCTCCTCATGATGATGCTTCGCACAAAGACCGGTCCGACGGGACGGTTGATCAAGAAGAATAGCATCAACGCGCGAGCCGCGTGGCGCCGCGAACGGCGACGTCGCCACGCGCTCTCACGGGCCGCCCGCGCCCTGCCGACCATCTCGGACAACATGTCGCACAGCCGCTTGGCCTCGGCGACGCCGCCCTCGGCGGCGGAGCCAGCGAGGGTGTGCAGCGCGGCGCCCTTGCTGTCCAGCTCGCCCGGGGCCGGGGGCTCCAGCTCCCTCTGGACCACTGGGCTGTGCAGGAAACCCACGTCGTCCGGATGCATGAGAAGGGCGCGCGCACCTGGTTCGTCGCGTTCTACTCTACTCGGCCAGCATCTTTGCCAGATCCTTGAGGCTGATGTTGCCCCTGAGAAGTTCCCATGCGAAAGTGGTGATCGCCTCGACGGCGTGCCGGGCGCCTTCGACGCACTTGGTGGCGATGCTGACGACTTCCAGGGGCGCGCCCTGCAACAGCTCCTCGCAAGACGCCTTCGTGTCCTGCTGGGCCGCCTGGCGGGCAGACTGCAACGACCCCACGGCGGTTGTGTAGCTGGTCCCTGACGATAGAGCGGCCACCGCGTGGCCTCGACTGCTCGCGACGCTGCCGTCTGACCATTTCTTGCAGAACTGCCAGCGCAACGCCGCCGTGCCGAGCGCGTGATCGGCGCCGGGCGGAGCCGCCCGAGGCGCGCCTACCGCGGCGCGGCCCTCGGTCCCCGCGGCGCTGCAGCTCGAACCTTCCAAGCGGAAATGTTTGCGCGGAACCTTGGTGACGTTTGCGCGCTCGGCGCCGAGCAGGGCCACCGGGGGCGCGCCCGTCTCGGCGTAGTATCCGTCCGCCCGCGTCGTCTGGCAGGCGACGGGTTCCTGCGCGAGCTCGGGAACGACGAATTCCTTCGTGCCCCAGCGGCCCGCCCGCTCGTCCCTGACGTCGCACGCGCGCGCGGTCAACATCATGGCGAGGTACAACGACACCACGCCGCGCAGCACCAAGGTGCCCGCGGAGTCCGACCAGTCGCTCATGCACAGCTCCTCGTAGGGCTCGGCTGACAGCAGGCTGGCCTGGCTGCGCTCAAGCGAACTCAGGATGCCCTTCGGCATGGCCCCGAAAACTGTGAGGTGCGTGGTCGCGCACCGCAGCGTGCCGTCAGCGCTGCGCGTAGTTGCCATGCCCTCGAAGCTCCATTCCAAGACGGCTTCGCCGAAATAGGCGCAATCGAGGCCGTCGCTTACGATCGGCAGGTCGATGACGATCGTGTCTGAGAGGTCCGTCACTGACAGGGTCGACCCGTCCTCGACAGACTTCAGGGAGATGCTGATCGCGCCCTCTACCTGCGTGCCTTGAGCTCCCGCGGGCGCGGCCCAAGCGGGGAGGCTTGCGGCCGAGACCAGCGCTCTCTCAACTCCGACGGCGTCGCAGCGCTAGTCGAAGCGCTGGCATCTGGCAGTGGGGTGCGCCCGTCGATGGCATCGCTCACGCTTGCCTTGGCGACAATGAGCCCAATCCCGTTGATCGTCGTCGTGATGCTCGACACATTCGATGCGAGCAGCTGGAAAGCAACCGCGTCCTCCGCCTTACACTGTCCGTCAGCCTCGCCAGCCCAGAAGTGGCCGCAACGGGAATCGTTCGCATGCGAGCGGCGGATGTCAGAAGATCTTCACTCCAATCAGCGGCAGCCATAGCATTGACAACATGGTCTTTGAGATCGGCTGCAGCTCCAGCAAGCGTGGAATAAATGATAGCGGGGACATTTTCGTCGGCAACCCGAATCGCGAAGCTGACCTTCGCAGAGGCTGCGCCCGAAATGTCGTCATTTAGCGTGAAGCCCGCGATTGAAATGTCTAACGCTGGCACGGGCAAAGCAGCAGGCGCAACCAAATAGATTGCCAACTTTGTAGACCACTGAAGACGTGAGATCAAGCGACGTCACGCCTGATGGAAGAGTTGCATCTGCAATGTACCAGCCGTGCACTGTGAACATATCTCTGGGAGTAGCGTCCGTCGTCTGGCAGAGGCGCCCGCCACAATCACATCCCGCATCACACTCAGGCAATGCACAAGTCCAAGGTAGGCCTTCAGCAGACTGCAAGCCAGCTTCCATGCGTTCGTCGCACGTCGAACCATAACATGTGTTTGGACTCGCCAGACCTGAAGTAGGTTCTGCAGCGGGTGCCTCGGTGGTCTGTGCAGTACGTTGAGTTGTAGGTAATGCTGGCGTTGGGTTGGTGCCAGGGTTGGCGCCGCTGATGGTGCGAAGGCCGGCGCCGGCGTCGGCGCGAACGTAGGCGTTGGTGCTGGCGTCGGTTCCAGCGTCGGCGTTGGAGTAGTGGGTGACGCTGGCGCCCATGATGGTGGCAGTGGTGGATCTGGTGTTGGAGCCGCTGTTCCTGCCAAGGTCGGTTCCGGCTTAGGCGCTGGCGTTGGCGCCGGCGTTGGCGCTGGCGTTGGTGCCAGAGTTGGTGCCAGTGTTGGTGTTGGGGTCGGTTCCAACGTCGGCGTTGGCGCTGACGTTGGCGCTGCTGTTGGTGCCAGTGTTGGATCTGGTGTTGGAGCAATTGTTGGTGCCAGGGTGGGTTCCGGAGTAGGCGCAGGCGTTGGCGCTGGCGCCAGCGTTGGTGCCAGAGTTGATGCCAATGTTGGTGCGGGGGTCGGTTCCAGAGTCGGCGTTGGCGTAGGCGCTGACGTTGAAGCTGCCCGCGTTGGATCTGGCGTTGGCGCCACTGTTGGTGCCTCCGCAGATGTTGCGGCGGATGTTCCCGTCGTCGTCTCCGCAAACTCATTGCACACAAGGGCTCCAATCGTCTCCGTTTCCACGGTGAACTCCTCCTTTGTTCCAGTCGTCTCCGCCTCCATGGTGCCATCCTCGGTTGCTGTCGCAGTAGCCTCTTCACTTGTGCCCGCGTCCGTGGCAGTCGCCTCCTAGGTCGGCGCGGGAGCCGGCGGCAGCTGAACGCACGCGAAGTACCTGTTGTGACTGTTGCATCGTCCAACATGCCAGCCAGGACCATAACCCACAAACCAATGATCAGAGCCATACGTTGTGGATTTGAAGGAAGCCTCGTGGCATTGATAAGCGATCGCCGCTATTGGCAAGCCATGCCTCAATCTTCTCTCTAGTGGCCACCGTGGCACCTTCTAACTCACATGCGTCATAGACTGGTTGGCAACAGCTAGGGCATGGATCACCGAGTCACTGGGTCCGACGCCTGCATCGTTTCACGTGCGCCGAGCCTAGCCATTGTTGCTGAACCACGTGTTTCCAATGAGCTGATACGAAGCTGGGCAGGTCGTCGCCGTCTGCTGCGGGGCGTCGTTCTTGTCCACCGCTGCTCCTAGCTGCACCATGCTGGAATCGGCGGGCGCCGAGCCTGGGGCGGCGGCGTCGTGTGCCACCAAAATGGCGCCCTAAAAGAATTGTCCATCTGTGAAGCCGGTGATACGAAGTACGAAGAGGGACAAGAGGCGTCTCGGTTTGCGAAGGCCTGCGGCGAATCAGTGGAGCCTTGAGCCAAGGCTACGGACGCTGGTGGTTTTATTTTTTTTAGCAGCCGAAGGCGAGCGCGCCAACGGTGAGTAAAGTCCGAGCGGGCCGCGCGGGTGCCGAACTACCTAGCGCGGAGCCAGGACCTACCGCCGAAGCCTCAGCGCTGGGGCAGCAAGAGGAGCTGGGGGGGGGCTGCGAGCTGCCGGGGCTGCCAGGGGGCTGCAAGCGTGCGACAACCTGAAAGCAGGGCCACCAGGTGTGAATTGAACTGCAGCGAATTGACCAACCGCGGTTGGGACGCAGCCGAAATGGCGCGGCGCTCTGCCAGGGTGTGACCAGGGAGAAGCCCGCCGGTACACGGGGGAGACAGCCAAGGGTGCCCGACAGGGCCCAAACTGGTGCACTGGGTGGCGCCACCAAAGTCGCACACCAACCCCGGAGAGGAGCACTGTTCCTGCGAACGCCTGGCCACGGAAGACGCCGGACACGGGCGAGGCAGCCAGGGGAACGATAGAGGAACTCGACACCGTCGGCGCCTGAGCTGCCGGACCAGGGGATGCCACGCGCACTCTCATGCTATCACCGACGACCGAGGGCTGTCCGACCATGGAGATCCAGCTGGTGGGGGTACGCGAAGCGCCGAGATCGCACGACAGGCAGCGGTAACTGTTATAAAG